CTCAGTTCCACCTCTCTTATCTTAGCACCTGGCAGACAGCACACCCTTCTATTCTCTGGATCAGCTCTGGTTACAGGCCTATCTATTCTTCTCAATAAGGAGTCCCCAACCACATAGACCTGCCTTTTCCTAGTGACAGTGAAATTCTCTGGTCTATCTCTAGCTTCCTCTGGCTGAAAGTCCTTGCCATTCCTATTTTCCCTTGTAATCCTAATGCTCATTATTGGTGTTGTCTCCATTAAGTCTTCCCCTTTATCTAGAGACACTCCTTTCTAGAGACACTGTGTTAATATGATTTGTATATCTTATCTGCCAGTTTTGCAATGAAAACTTCATCTGCCCTTGTGCTTATGTCCTTACGTTAGCCTTCTGTGATTTTACAACAGATTGCTCTGGAGTCAATTACTGTCTTATCACCAAAGGATTTGGATTTAAAAGTCCAGGTGGGGAAAATAAGAGAAACTATTAAATATATGAAATCACTGTCTCTAAATTGAGTGGTTTCTTTGAGGCATTAAGGCAGGCCCAAACTGTAATGTGATGAGGCAAGTATGAGAAGCCACCAGGTGGAGTGATGAACCTTGTATAATAATACACATACACTGTATATCTTCAAAGCATTGTACAGACCTCAGCTATTGGACTCTTTACCATCCCTCAGAGAGACAGGGCAGATTAGAGGGCGAGAGTAGGTAGAGGTAGGTAGAGAGAGAGGCTACGTCTGCATTGGCAAGATTTTGCACAGAAGCAGCCGCTTTTGCGCAAAATCTTGCAACCTGTCTATACTGGCCGTGAGTACTTGCGCACACTGACATTCGAATGTATAAAATCAGTGCTTCTTGCGCAAATACTCTGACGCTCCCACTCAGGGATAAGCCCTCTTGCGCAACTGTTCTTGCGCAAGAGGCCAATGTAGACAGGCAACATCAATTTCTTGCGCAAGAAAGCCCGATGTTTAAAATGGCCATTGGCGCTTTCTTGCGCAAGAGAGCGTCTACACTGGCACGGATGCTCTTGTGCAAAAGCACATCTTTTGTGCAAAGGCACATGCCAGTGTAGATGCTCTCTTACTCAAATACTCTAATGCAAAAACTTTTGCGTTAAAGAGTATTTGTGCAAAATCTTGCCAATATAGACATAGCCAGAGAGAGAGAGAAAGGCAGCTCTAATAAGCAGAAACAACCCTGACTAATTAGGAAAGGGTTACTTCAGGGCAGCCAGGAACACCTGACCCGGGAGTTATCATGGGCAACATGGGAGTAGCTGGTATAAATCAGTTAGGCTCAGCTGATCTCACCTGAAGCTGCTATGGGTCCTTTTTCAAAAGCCTTCCCTGCTTGGGGGAAGAGGAGAGTGGGAGAGGAAGTTGGAGTGAGAGAGAGCATAACAGATAAGGAGAGAGTCAGAAAAACTGAGAGGGAGATATCAGTGTTGCCAGAGACAGCAAGAGGATGAGGAGCTCCAAAAAAAGAGTGTTTGGGTTCCCTTCCCAGGTAGCCTGAGAGTACAACCAGTAGCTGGAGAGGACTGTTTACCCCACCCAGGCTGACCAGGGGGTGCCTGCCCCATGCCCTTTTTAGCCGAGGGTCAGAAGCCCAAACCCTGGCAAGGACAAGCAGGACCTGTGCTGCAGTACCTAGACTGTGAGATTGTGGAATGAAGAGGTGTCTGGGACCCAGGAGTAAGACTGACCTTGCAACACCCCATATTGAGATAGTAAAAAGAACTATCACCACCAGCGGTTAAAGGCCACATTTTCGGAAGTAGCATTTACTCAGTGCACACATTGAAATGCATAGGGATTGATTTTAAAAGCGTGGACACCCATATAAACTCCAAATGATGCTGTGTGCTGAACAGCTCAGAGCAGATCAGTGGCAGTCCTGACACTAGAACTCTGGAGTCCCTCACACCCAGGCTTGTGACTGGTCCAGGAGACTAAGCTGCTTCTGTGTAAAGTCCTTACGCTGCTACACACTCATTAGGATATAGAAGGAAGGCAGTTTCTCTTCCACTCCAGGCACAGGCATTGTGAGGCTTAATAAATGTGTAGTCTTTAAAGTGCCACTGGATTCCTTGTTGATTTTGCTGAAACAGACTAACACGTCTACCTCTCTGACTCCTGCTTAAAGTACCCTCCCAGTAGGCTCATGTACTGTACATGACTGATAAAAATTCTCAATTTGTTTAGATGACAACCTGTACAGATGTTGCCATATTCAACATCTGGAAAGATACTTGATGCAACGACAGTTTCCCAGTTGGAAAGGTGTTGTAGACCCGATACACACTGTATATTGAGAATCATTTCTGCATGGCTGCTATTATGGGGTAGGTTTGCAGTCCCATTTAAAAAACAAAACAAGGAGCCCTGATATTTTTTCTCTTCACTCTTTGTCTTTGTTTAACAAACAACAGTCTATTTAATACACTACATTGTGAGACTAAACGTGTCACTTCCTCAGAAGTTTGCAAAAGAATTAACTCTATATCCTATATGCATGACAGTTTGCATGACCAGCTGAACACAAACAAGCTGTAGAATCACCTTTAAATTTCATGGCAGTTACCATCATTCGTATGCCACCTGGAAAACTCTGTTTTGTGAGCCTCAGACTTCTCATAGCATCTTTACTGGATGTGCATATGTGTGAAAGACCCCACCAGTTTAGAAAGGGGGTGAGAGGAGAGATAACTAAGCTTACTGAAGAACCACATTTTACCCCTACATTCTCAGACAAACTAGAAAAAAGAAATAAAAGTTTTCATCTTTGACTTCAAGACTTGTGTATTTTACTTACAGACCTCTAAACACTTCAGGCAGGAAGGGTCTCTATGTGTTTGTATAGCATCACGCATAATAGGCCCTGTATTTTGTAGCTGATTCCATCATATTATAATAGTAATATTTTGTTAATTAACAGCAGCAAAACAATCTGAGAGAAGAAGAAACTGTTGAATATTCTACAGATCATTATAGGTGACCTAACAAGCACAATGGGAATTCTCTCTCTAAAGTTTATCCAATTGCCACTGTAGTATTAAAAATGAGCCCGCACAAATTACATCAAAATTCCACTGTACACCTACCTAGCAGACTAGGTAATCAGGAAAAACTCCCAACAGGGTGAAAAAGAAAAAAAGAGTACCATAGAGACTTATTTTGCCCCTACGTAAATACAATTTACTGCTGCACAGGAGTTAGGAAGCAAAGGGGAACTCCCAGTATACATTCCATTTTACAGCAATTCCCTACAAAATGTTTCAGTCAGTAGAACTACAAAGAGCGTCCATAACCCTATCAGACTGCCATACACATGCAAAAGGAATAATTATTACAATGAAAAAAGTGTCAAGCTATTATTTCAGAACACTAGGTGCATGCAAATAATCATAGTAGAGGAATAAACTAACAGTCATTTCACACGATACACCCTGCAGGAATCACTTAGCTGGATGGTTTGAAGCTTTTGCCCGAGCTAGAATAGAACAGGCAAACTTTTCCAAACAATTCTAAATGCCTAAATGCAGAGGCAGAGCATTCTCCATCCCACAAGTGCCTTGTAAATGGAGAGTATATTTAAAGAGCTGGGTGCTGCTCAAGGGGAGGGACAGAGACAATGAGACTGATTAAGTCCTGTTGAAATCCTAGGGCTGAATTTGGTCCGATCCATGCAAGTTTTTATCTCCAGGGACTTACACAGAATCCTGTTTTGAATCACTATAATGACTAAAAGTCATTTGAAAGATTTCTGATTAATACTGTTCAATAGTCTGCACCACAGACCCGAACAGCCTCCTCTACGTCATGGACAGCAGAATGGCCTTAGGTCAGGATAATGATCCCCAGCTGCTACTAGAGTCCTTTATCCAAAATAAAGCATCAGGCAAAAAGATTGGGATTCTCTTTTCAGATGCAGGAATTGCTGATTCTGTTTTGATGTTCAGCTATAGTAATTCTCTTCTAGGCCAGAGAATGATGCAGAGTAAAAATTTCAAAAAAACCAACCAACCAAACAAAAAAACCCAAAACCTATACCACAGAGTAAGGTATTAGTTTTGACAGCCTAGGACTCATTTTCAATAGTTGTTAAGCACTTGGAGGGTCAGAGTTTCAGAAGGTACTTAGATACCTGTAGGTGTTTTCAAAAACACGTACATGTCTAAAATCACTTTCAGGTGCCTAAATACATTTAAACAAAAACTGGGTCCTTCAACTCCTACCTTGCAATAAGACTTTACAGAAGAGATATCCTAAATAACATCTGAAAATGGTATTCAGGTGCTTTTGAAAATTTTCCCCACTGTCTATCAAATGTTGGTTCAGCAATAATGGAGAACTAACACTGAGCTAATAGCTGAAGTCTTTGTTCATTCTACAAGAGACTTTGTTCATTCTCCATCCTTCCCTCACCAAGTAGAGCATTCGTGGTATTTTTAATTTCATACAGTGTTTAGGCACTACAATGATGAGCCCGTTATAAAAATTGACAATTAGAAAGATTCCCAGACTGTTATTGACAGTTGTATCTGGATTAGTTTAGACTATAGAAACAATATGGCTAATTGAAGAAATGATATCTTAAATACATTTCACTCACTGTATTTCACGATTAAGTGAGAATGTTATCTAAAATTCCCAATTAGATTATGTCAGCGCAAGATGATAAAGTATTCTACGGCTCGTCTAGTGGTCCCAGCAATTTCTGTAGAATTTGAAGTTTAACATACCCTGAAGAAATTAAATGCAGAAATTAGACCTGTAAGCATTTCTGATGCATTGCAGTAGCTGGGACATGAGGGCTAATCGTAATTACTACTTTTTGTCATCACCAATTTAGGTAGTTCTAACTTCTGGTCTAAGGATTGAACCAAATCCCCAATCCATCAAGTTCCAGAGAGTCTCTCCCCTCCTCCTGCCCTCCAATATCCCCTGTCATTTCTGAAGTTTCAGTAATTCTCAAAAATGGATTTTCAGGCCCATTCTCAGCATGTTTTACCCGTTTTTCTTTGGGGAGTGTCTCCGGAAGCAGGAAGAAGATGAAAATTAAATCAGCAACAGCAAATCCAAGTGCAACCAAAGCTGACCGAAGATAGAAGACTTCTTTCACTGTTTCCATGGCAAGATAAGCACCAATCATAGGACCCACAGTAAATCCCAGCGAGAAAGCAATACCGATCATGGCCTGTTGGGAAACAGTAAACCTGAGGTTTTAGACATAGGTTTATTCATGACTGGGAATTTTTTTTTTTTTTGGTGAAACTTGATAATATTCTGACAGAAGCCAAATTATTGTGCCAAATGCTAACACATCAAGCATGAAGATAATGGAATTAAGCATCTTTTGACCCCAGTTCAGAGAGTCTCTTTCTAAATATCCACAAAGCAAAAAAAATCTGCAATCACCTCAAGAGAACGGGGAAGTGTGTGGCAAACAGCAATGAATGGCAAGACAGAAATAGCTGCAACAGAATTTAAGCATTCATGACTAGGCAGAAAATAAAAAGAGCTACCATTCAATAAGTGGCCATGTCAATTTTCAGCTTGGTAAAGGGCTTTCAGGGATCATTTCCACTACTAAGGCTCCTTTGAAATAAGGAAAGAGGAGGAAAAAAATAGGGGGGAGGTGAATAATATGCATGTTAATTCAAAGCAGATCTAAGACCACTTAGCCCCGGGATGCTCCAAGTAGGATGGTGTCAGTGCATATGCACCACCATGGTGGTAATGATGTTGTTTCTCATCCCCCAGGGTTCTTTGCTATTCCCAGAGTCTGCCCTATAGATACAAAATCAGATAAAAGGTGAGCAGGCTTGACCAGGGCAGAATTAGGATTGGTGGATTCTTTTTAAAAACAAAACATAAAAACAAAAAAACACCACCCTTGATGGTGCAGGAAGTCATAAAGGTGTCCAGGGACATCCTTAGGATTTTCGGGGCCCTACATAGTATTATTAAATTGGTGCCTTTATGCACAATGGCAGCCCAAAGGGGAGGACGATTTTTTATAGATGTGATTTTGTAATCTTCAGAAACATACTAATGAAATATTTTTAAAGTAAAATTTTAACTAATGTCCTGTAGGCTAACCCAGTAAATTCAGAAACTGACAGTATCTAGGGGGTTCCAAATGCCTGTTAAATGGCTTCATTACCTCTTGAATGGCTCTTTCACAGGTTCAGTGTTCTGCTAGTATGTTTGGCAGTCTTTTTCACTTTTATATTAATGAAATACTCTCCAGAGGAAGTAGAGCCACAGAACAAGAATAGGAAGAGGTGGGTGGGTGGGTGGGCATTAAAACCCAATGGTGCCCCAATTTTTTGGATATTCTGCATATGGGTAAAGCTGCATATTCTGTGTATGAGTAAAGTCATCCCTGAAGGTGCATGATTAAATATCTGTCTTCCTGCCAAGTTAGCATTAAATCAGTGCATCAAAATGATGCTCTAATGCTGGAAGGAGGAGGCTAAAAATGTGGTGCAGTTTAATAGCCTATGCAAGCACAATGGGACTTTGCACAGAATTTAGTCCAGCATCTTTAAGAGGAGTCATTTAAAACAAAATCTAGGTCCAGGCCACTTGCTATCCGAGTACAGGAGTTCTATCCCTGTTTCCAAATGAATCCTCATTGGGCCTGAGAACAGGCTCTTTGCATTTCTGCCTCAGATTCACAAACTGTAAAATAAAAACATCACTACAGGCTTGTCTACCACACAGGAGAATAGTGAGTAGCATTGTATGGAAAGTGCTTTGAAATTAAAAGCTCTGTATCAGTACTTAGTATTATTGTTGAATTTAAAGCTCTCCTTTAATTTAAAGATCTTTTAAAAAGATTGTCCCCCAGAGCAATTTAACCAGGATACAGAGATTATCTGCTAAAAATTCACCAAATAATTTCAGTAAGATAAACTATTAGTACACTTCCTTTTCTATAATGTATAACAGTTGCTACAATGCTATATAAATATTACTCCCAAGGTAACTGCATTTCACTAGTGGGTGAAAATGACTCCTATATAAAATTGGTAAATCAATTTGTAAAGTGCTTTAATTCTGGAAGAATGGCACTCTGAAAGTGTAAATATCATTTGAATACATCACAGGGAACAAAACGTAGGCAACTTTGCTGAAAAATTAACAACAAATCCTGTATGTATAGCCAGCATTTGCAACTCACCATGCCCTTACTTCTAGCTTTTGGAGAGTGCAAGTCAGCAATTATAGCAGTGGAGAGACTGACATTCCCTTTGCTTATTCCACCTAGAACTCTGGAGAGAAGAAAAATACCAAAACTCCTGGAGATAGCCCATAGTGCATATGATGCTATCAAGCCCACCTGCAGAGAGAGGAGGAGATTTATCTTACATAATATACTAAAATCAGCATCATTTTAGGACAATTTTCTAGTTAGACTAATTTTTGAAAAGCAAAATCAACATCTGCTCCACTAATCATGCAAAACCAAATGCTTTCTTGAATAAACTGGCATTTCACCAGATACTGAGTGTCAGAAAGTAGAAATCCAATAAGGAGAATGTGCAATCATTTCACATAATCCATGATTAGATTTCCTTGTAACATAATGTATGCCTGATGCAAAAATGATATTTTTATGCATTGAAGGGTGTCGAGAACACCTTTTTACAAGCTTACTCCATTTAGTTTGAAAGACAGGCATGGAAATGGTTTTGAATATAATTAAAATGTTTAAATCAAATTTGCAACCCAGATAAATTCTAAAACAAAACCGATTATCCACTGATCTGAAAGTCAGTTTTAGCCCTAAGGTTTAGTGAATAATAATTGAACTCACACATGTTTACTGCATTGATCTACAAAGATGCTGGGTTGTGTATGTTATTTGCTGCTAAGATCCCTTATGTATGTTCAGACCTGCAGTATATTATACCTAAAATCAGATCCCTACATTTAAGCTCATAACAGCTTCCACAGAGAGAAACTGTTTGGCGAATGTTTATTAATAGAAAGCAACGTATGTATTTATTGTATCAAAAATCCAAAGCTTTGGATGGCCAAAGGTACAAATTATTATCCCTATTATATAGATGGAGAATTTAGGGAGAAAAAAAATAAGTCCAACATTATCAGATTGGATGACTTAAAGCCAAGCACATAAATCCATATATAGGTACTTGTACAGGTAATACGATTTTACATGTTAAAATGTCAATGGCATTGAGATGCCTAAAAGATACAATGAAATGTTTTTGAAAATCCCAGTAGGTGCCTATCTGCACCTTTAGGCACTTAAATGCCTTTTAAAATCTGGCCATACGTGCTGAGGATGACACATGCAAGTTTGATCAAAGTGACTTGGCAAGGTAAGGTAGCAGAAGTAAGGACTAGTGCTCTGCATTAACCACACTGGCCCCTCTCTGTATGTGTGATTTATGCTGATTCTAGTCAGGATGCCAGACGTACCACTGTCAACAACATGATCGGCCTTCTCCCCATGCAGTCAGATGCAGCACCCGTGAGTGGAGAGGAAAAAAACTGCAGGATGGAAAAGATGGAGCCAATCAGACCTAGAAAAGATTGATGGTTAGACTTAATAACAAGACTTGCTGCCTTAGTGTTAAACACCAAGGCAGTTTAAGTGTTTAAAACCTATCGCTTTGCTATGGTAAGAAAGAAAGAAAGAAAGAAAGAAAGACTCACACTCACTCTGTTACATTGTGATTAGCAGTTATCTACCTGGAATGCAAACACCCCCAAAATTTTGAGGCTAGGTTATCATTTGACTAAATTTAACTAGACTTTTAAGGGAAAGGGAAATGAGGACAAACCAGAACACATAAGACTTATGGGAGGAAAGAGGGTGTGTCAATAAAATGCAAATTATCTGATATTTTCTATGTCTGATTGAAAACTCTTTCTGTTCATGAAGAGATAATAATATAGCAGTGGTTCCAAATCTGTGGTCCCCAGACTCTGGGGGGGAGGGGGAGAATCCTTATTTTTCTTTTTCTTTACCCTACCGGGGAGTGGGGGAAGTTGGGCTGTGAAATTTTAATAGATTGAAAAGGGGTCCGTATGCTCAAAAAGGTTGGGAACCACTGTAATATAGGATTTAGCAGTGAGGCAGTGTAACACACAGTTCTTTTAAATAGGGGTTTTTTGGGGTTTTTTTTTGATTAACTGAACTTGGAGCTTATCTTTTCTCCCCTCAGTATGAAAGGGAGCAGTGAGACACATGATTGTAGGTGCAGCCCACACAAAAATGGCACTGAGTTTACATATCTGAAGAGGTTCCTCGAAACCTACATTCTGTCCCTGTGAAATTCAGTTCCTCTCTTCTCTTGCCATTTCTACCTTAGCGCCCTCATTAATTTGCAATTGTGACGGGGTGAAGTCACAGAAGACTCCTTGGGGAGGCTTCCTAGAGTGCTGACACAGCCACTGCCACCCTCATTTTGCTCTCTGGGACTTCTCGCTTCCCTGTCCTGCTAGGCCAGGTTCCTGGTCTCCCCTAGCCAAGGCACAGAGCTGAGAATCATTCCCCCACTCCCACCCCTGAAAAGCAGCACAGACACTAAATCTCTTCAGGTCCAAGGAGAGTGCAGTTTTGGGCCTAACCCCCTGGGACATGACTCCCCAAATGGGATCCAAACCCCCACTCAATTACTTGAGTAAGCCCCCTTTAACAATGAAAGGGGGAATGTATACACTGATTGCTCCCCCAGGTAATAATTATTTACACGGTGCTTGATAGTAAGTAAAAATGATTTTATTAAGTACAAGCAGCAGGATTTAAGTAGTAATAAGTGAGAACAGGCAGGGCAAATTAGATCACAAATTAAAAATATCAGAAAACGCTTAGCTAATTCTAACACTAAATCCTCAGTACAAACTTATTACAAACTGACCCTAAAACTGTTTCTGTTCCAGCTTCACTTTCAAACCAGGGAAAAACTCCACTTCTTCTTGGGGCTCTGGTTCACCCTCCTGAGTGTGCCAGCCAAAGACAAAAGACTCTTACTTTCCTGTTGTTTTTAAAGATTCTCTTATTATATGGGGAGTCACCTGAACCATCTCCCTATGTCTAATTTTGCACACAAGAATGATACATACACCAAAATAAGATAAATAGACCCAGAGGATTAAGACATAAAGATTGATAGGTTACATGAAGTAATTTGCTCAAAGCACCTTTGAGTTATATATTATGTCCATAAGTCCATTTCATAAAGCATGGGAGGGGAGGTGAACCATCTCAGCAATACTTTGTGACAAGCTGTCAAGAAAATGCATTTTTCTTTAAAAAGAGAGAGCTACGTATATGTCTTTCTTAGACCACCTAACAAGGCTGAAAATGCTCAGAGGTTGGAATAAAATTCTGCACCCATTGAATGATAAAATGGTGAGGGCAGGAGAGGAGTTAGTTAACAGGGCTGCAGGCAGGTAAGAGGCACTGGAAGGAGCTTGCTGGGCTGTAGATGTTGAACACCCACTAATTTTTCCCCTTGGATGCTTCAACCCTGGAGCACCCATGGAGTCAGTGTCTTGCTGATTTACCTCCATTCCTGGGAAGCTCAGTGAAAAAGTAGTAAAGTCAAGCAGGCCTGGTCTAGGAAGCAATACTGGGGAATAGGTTAAACAGCTTGCCTGACTAGTCAGAGATATTAGTTCCATATAAGCAGCACCATTTGCCAAATATTTATATTCTGCTTCTCTTGGGTATTTTTACTCTGAGTAAAAGGACTCCAAGGACTTTTACTCTCTTGCATATCTTTTACTCTGGCATCTAAGCCCCAGCACCATGTTTACAAGTTGTTCATAAATAAAAACATTGATGTGATCCTGAAAGCAACACTGGATCACAGTTTCATTCATACCTCCAAACAAGACCATGTTGTACTTCCTCTCCAAAGGCACCCCAATGACTGCGGCAAACCAATCCACTCCCTGTTGCAGTGAAAGATAGAAACCATCCTACAAAAGAGAGCCATACTGTTAATGGCACTAGGGAACAAGCCACTCTTGCAGGCTGTGACATGATTTGCAAAAATGCTGCATTGCTTCATAAACCAAAGACCACTTCAGACAACTTCCTTCCCCAGGCATGCTCATGGGGCATATGCCTGATGGATCGAATTAGTCACAGATAACCATCCCTGCCATTGACCTTCCCTCTCTCCCTCTCAAAATCTCTTCCATGATAGCAAAACAATTATTTCCCTCTCCCTCAGCACCTCCATTACTCCAGACTACTTCAAGCCTTTACACTGCTTCTGAGTAATGCAGGAAATACATTTCTGTATTGTAGTTTAAATGAATTACTCAAAGTAATAAAATAAAGAAAGAATAAAGAAAGAATAAAATAAAGTAAAGAATCTATTTGTCAAAAAAACAAATTACCTGAATCTTTTTTGTTTCTTTAGATAGACAGACTGGTTGCAGGCACTTTGAAATACATTATCAGCATAATTGAAAATGGTATGATTATACGGTATTATTTTGACAAATAAAATATGCAGAATGTTAAAATATTGTTCGTAGAATTTTAATTTTGTGTGCAGAATTCCCTCCACGAGTAAAGTGCCAATTACACGTGAATTGACACTCTCCACACAGAAGCTGAGCAGAGACCTCAGCTTGAGAACAAAGGACAGAGACCAAGGGTAAATGTGGGCTCTACTGGGACTGATTAAGGAACTCAGAGAGAGAGATGGAAAATGGAGTTCACTATAGCTTGACTGGTGAATTGCTCTCACTGGTTCAGAATGAGCTATGGACTGCTTATGCTGTGTACCAGTGAACTCCTACCCCATTTTGAAAATGCACCTTAGGTCTCACCACAAATCCTTGCAAGGATGCATTAGTCCCTGAAGAGTGCAGAAGTCTATTTCAGATGCACTCACTGGGCAGAGTGCACAGTGTAAAGGAGGAGTGCTGTAGCCCAGTGTTTCTCAACCAGTGGTACGAATACCCTTAAGGGTACGTAAGGGAAGTCTGGGGGGTACATCACAACAACTGAAACTTGGAGAAAACTGAATTTTTGTTTTAAGTTTTACAGCGCTTTATTATTTTTGTACTGTTTACACCCAAAAATGTAATCGCCTGCCCAGCTACAATTAAGTTGTTTAAACAAATGTGTTGCGATAGTAGAAAAAAAAATTGTGTGTCTGAAAATTGTAGGTATTGAGGGTATTTTTTTCAAAGAGGTACTTTATAAATAAAAAGGTTGAGACACACTGCTGTAGCCCACAGACACAAGTCTAAGAGGCAGTAAGTCTGCAGGGCTTTTCCTGAAGGCAAAGTGAGACTACTTGGGGTCTGCAATGCTGAAGGAATTCTCCCAGGAGATTGTTTAAAACCTGGGATGTAACACAGATCCTGTGGATCCATGACACACTTCCTCATGACACTGTTAATCAAGTTTTGACAGGTATAGACTGTCTAGCCATAGATGGCTTTGGGGCTCGTGAACCCTGCCACTGCTATCGGGGGGAGGGGGGAGGGGAAGCAAAGCTTCAAATGGATTCCCAGTTTACACAAACAGTACCACACTTGACATGGGATCATGGGGTTCAGTGCTATCTCAGCAGCATGCCAATTGGCATTTTGCTAGTTGTATCCAGATGCTCATAGATCCATCAATGTGCTTTCTGCTGAGCTGCTCTGAAGACGACCCAGTAGCTGGGACTTCTTCTTTCAGCTGATCATAATTGTGTGAATGCTTGGGGACCAGAGGCATATGCCCCATCTCTAACAAGTAGCGCAAAGTCCAGGAAAGGGAATTAGAGTGGTGGACAAAGAATAAGAGGGCTTAAGGTGATGAAAGAATGCGGGGAGAAAGGGGAGAGCTCTCTCAAAAAAACCTCAAAAAACCCACAAACACCAAAGCTCCGTGTATTGCTTTAAGCAGAGGCATCTATTTACCTATAAAACCAACTGGCAAAGAAGTCAGTATTTTCCATTTCAATGTAGTTGCTGGAACTGGCAAACAGATTTGACCATCCAGGCATAGGTGTTGGAAGTAGGCGTGTGGGAGGTGCTGCAGCACCCCGGGGTTAGAAGTGGTTTCCATTATATACAAGGCTTACAGTTTGGATCAATGGCTCTCAGCATTCCCATTGTACAAATTGTTCCAGTACCACTGCATCCAGGAAGGTCCCTGCATCAAGTTCCTCTCTCCCAGAACCAGGAGAGACAGAGGAGAGACTGCAGACTCTGTTACCAGTAGGGTTGCCAGATGGTTTCAACAAAAATATTGGACACAGTACATCACAATCTACATCACATCTTACTTGGAAAATACCGGACATTTATATTTTCTCAATTTGTTTCCCAAACAGAAAGCTCAAATACTGGACTGTCTGGTTCAAAACCAGACACCTGGCAACCCTAGTTACCAGGAGACCAGGGCTTCACGCCTCATGGAGCTTCATCTCAGCTGGCTGAGCCACGCAGAAGGAAGAAGCCCAGCATTAGAAGAAACCTCTTAGCTGGCCACTCATTGCTGGAGACCTGGGGCTATGTCTACACTACGGAGTTTTTCTGGGATACCAGGCAACACATCCAGGGAATGCGTCTGCTCTTCTGAAATTCTTTTTGGAAGAGCAGACGTGCTCTTTTGGAAGCCCTGTATTCCTCATTTTATGAAGAACAAGGGCTCTTTCAAAAGAGGAGGTTTTTCCCGCATTTGGCCCCATGTAGACAGGCCAAATGTTAGAAAAGCCTCTTCCGAAAATAGAATCAGAAAAAGATACGCAAATTGCGGTTCACAATTTGCATACCTTTTTCCAAAAAATAATTGCAGTGTAGAGATATCTCATGAGAACACAGACACACATGAGTAAATGAACAGCGAGGAGCAGAGCAAAGGCAAGACAGTAACGAGAACTAGTAATCTCTGGATTTTCCCTAACACAGATATCTGACCTCAACTCATTGACGAAGAGGAGACAGTCTTACTAGGCAAAGGAAAATAAATCAAATCCATAAGAACAATCTAAATTAGGAATGTTATAATGCATGTATTGAAGTAAAGTGTAACCGCTGAAAAATGTCAGTGGTTACAGTCACACATGCAGGGAGGGCAGGCAGCTCTCTGGGAGCTGGTGTGCATGGCATGGGGAGCCAGCTTAAAAGCCAGCTCTTTGCACATACTGGTCCCCACCTGCCCCTTTGTGCTGCTGCCTCTGATACAAAGGCAGAAACATGGGAAGGGGGGAGTCAGTGCATGTGGGGAGCCAGTTTAAAAGCTGGCTCGCATGTGCATCGACTCCTGCCTTCCCTTCTTTCCCCCCATTGCTGCTGCTGCTGAGGCGGGGGGCGGGGGGAGGGAGCTGTGTGGAACTGTGCACATTAACCAATGAGCCTAGACTCATTGGTTAATAGTGTACACAGTTACACTTTCACATCTCTAATCTAACTATCCTTTCGACTAGGGGGTCCCGGTTGTTCTGCAAGTAGATTTTGAGCAATGCCAGGGGAATGGTCAACCCTCACATTCCCTTTTCTGCATCACATTCTTCAGGTCACCTTGCGCCCAAATTGTATTTTCAGCAAGGAGAACTTAGGTATTACTTACGTCATTCTTGCTGTAATATTCGAGGATTGAAGGAAGGAGTGGCAAAATAAGAGTGAATCCCAGCAGGTCTATAAGGAGTGCCAGGAAGACAATGGTGATCACCCGACTGGAGCCATCTTCAGCCTCTAACTTGCCTTTGCTGGGGCAGCTAATTTCCCCCGTTCTCATGGCCATATTCTCAGGCACTGCACTTCTGAAACAGCATAACAGCACAGCATTCACTCCGAAGCATGTTAAGTACTGAGATTATTTCATCCAAAGAGGAAGAACTTGCTGACTCATTCTCTCTCCATTTCCCCAATGCAACCTTATAGTAATTATTAGTTTAGAATCATGATTCACTAGGGGGTAGCTATTTTGAAAACAGAACAGCCCATTGGCCTCCCAATTCCTGGTCCTTTATTCTAGTAAACATGGGACATGATGGCAAGGACTACTGTTCAAGGGAAAAGTTCAAGTGCTCAGTATAGTCAGTCCCAACTAAATGGATCTGCATCTTAACAGGATACGAGTGCTAAATCATAGCATCACTAAGTATACCTCTTCCATGTTTAAATACAATTTTTCTGGACTTGCTAAATTTTGTATAAGTGTTTTCAAGACAGTATTGAAGTGCAATCAGGAAATGAAAAAGTCTCCTGAAGCAGGTATCCAGCAGTATTTATGTCTATAGTAGATATTAAAGTGAGTACGGCTGTACAAACAGCTACAACAATTGACTCACTGACCACTTTAGGGAGGGTGTCAGATTCAGTAATGACAACTCCAGAAATACAGTGTAACAAAGTTTCCTTTGAAATTACTAATAGGTCTTCAAATCTATACCAAAATCATAGGAGGGGCATAACTGTAAGGCAGCTTGCATGGCTTTACATGGCTCTCATTTTATTTTTTTATTCTTCTGACATAACTATCAGCAAAATGTTTTAATTATTTGTATTTTGGAAGCATCTAAAGATCCCTGCCAGGGTTAGGGCTCCATTATGCTTAATAATGTACAAAGAAAACAGTCCATGTCCTGAAAAGTTGACAGTCCATGTCTGTCTGTGATATATTACAAAAAGTTAGCACTTTGTCAAACAAGTAGGGTCGAGGGCACTTCTGACATAACTATCAGCAAAATGTTTTAATTATTTGTATTTTGGAAGCATCTAAAGATCCCTGCCAGGGTTAGGGCTCCATTATGCTTAATAATGTACAAAGAAAACAGTCCATGTCCTGAAAAGTTGACAGTCCATGTCTGTCTGTGATATATTACAAAAAGTTAGCACTTTGTCAAACAAGTAGGGTCGAGGGCAGCGGA